CAACAAATCTAATGAAAAAGAAACAAAACCAACAATTAAATAATCCTACTATCAAGTATTGTTTATCCAAAGCCTGATATATTCTATTCCTCTGTGCGAGCTCCATTGTTGTCCAAAAGCTACACATCAGTCAGCCACACTGTTGCACTACGCGACATGTTCCTTCATTATGATGACACTGGGCAAAGCGTCAGTGCCACATACACTATCCTGCTGGAGATGCTCACTAGCACCAATTTTGAATCAATCCACTGCTGAAAATACTTCCAAAACAAATTTCAAAAACACTATTTCCTGCTGTTTGAGTATTGTTTTCCCCAAACTAAAGTGCCCAGCTCTTTCAGGAAATGACTTTGCCTATTTTAAAAATAAAACTATATTTATATATCTTTGTGATTTTTTTTTTTTTTTAAATACCTCCTCAGTAGGAACAAATCAGTTTGAGTGCCACAGACAGAGCTACAATTTTTAAAGCAGGTACATACACAGGGACATAACGGGTAAATATGCTAACAGATTAAGGACTTCAAAGACCTAGATGAGACCTTAATGAAAGGTTTAAAATGTAACACATGGCCATACTATTGAAAAACAGTAAGATTTCTTTGGCAATCTTGAAGCCAGTTAAGGAACAGAAAAAACTTTCTCCAGATCATGGGATGAGAGGAAATAGGGAAAAAATAATTAATGAAATGATGGTAAATCATCATCATTTCCTTAATTATGTGTTGATGAGCAGAGCAATGAACTGCAGATGACATCTCTTTAACCAGAATGGATGTCAAATATTTTTAGCACAGTGTTCCAATAGAGTCCCCTCTCTTTGTTACCAGCATCAATATCCCCGAATCAGCCAGGGCATAAACAGGATATAACATTATCAGTGGACTGAATCGATTCAATTATGACCCGTGACATTAATTTTGCATCCTCCTTTTCTTTCTGTAGCACACTGATCTGCAGCTTTCCCTAGCACAAACAGAGAAGAGTTACTTTGAAACCAAGCTGAAGCTGGATCGAGTGTCTGGGGAGAAACAGGCCCTGCTGCAGGAGAACAGGAGCCTGGAGGGAGACAGGAATGACCTCCGACACAAGCTGAGGCAGATCACAGAGGAAAATGTGCAATTGAAAGAGAGGTGGGTATATATCAAAGTAAGTTTTTGGACATTAAAGCTGCACTAGGCAAGAATCTTACATAAAAATACCATTAATTAGGCCTGCAACATCCCATCCCCACTAACTGAGATGTTACAGATGCACTTTAGTTCTCTCATTCTGTAACTCTGTCTTGGTATGGTGCGCTTATTAGTAAAAATATAAGTAAATCAGGTAGCAGAGAAACTGAAGATGGTTAAAAGGCATTAAAAAGACTAAAACATAAATTAATTGTTTGCACAGTAAGAAGAGACAAACAAGAATGAAAAAAAGACTTAAAATGTATCTTAATTCAAAATAAACTCATGAAAATTGTTGGTCATAAAAGGTCTTTCACACTTAAAGGTTTCATAGTTCAAGTTAAAGCTGAATTGATCAATTTTTGGTCAAGAGGGGGCAGGAATATATTAGGAAATGCTGACACAACTGACAACATCATAACATTGTCTTTATAAAGTTGTTATGGCTAACAAGATACAACTGTTTTCTACAATGATAAGAAATACCCTTGAAGTGACACTTGAGAGAGTAAGCATGTGGTGTATAAGGG